AAAACCTTGATTTTGGCAGGGCCAGAATAAAGTGAACAAGTAGCCTTGAGCGGAACTACCCTCTATGGAAGTAAAAAAAACGGGCGGGTTTGTTGCACGGCATCGCTTAACGTGGTACCGTGCTGCAGTGGAAATCAGCATAATAGACTTGAATGCGCTTCAACTCATAATATTGAAAACCAATGCCAACCTTTCCTTCCACCTGTTTGTGTTTTTAGTTCATCAAAATGTTATCATACCAACTGAGAAGGATGTAGAGGATCAGATGCAGTTTTATTCGAGATTTAAGGACTTGAAGGGGCTGATTCACCAAATGTATCACACACGATTGTAAAGGTATAAGTAAGTAATATATCACTATTTACATCAACAACAAACTAAGGGTTCAGGTATTCTGTCATAATTATTAAGTCAAGTTATATTCTCCAAAACTGTTCCTGTCAGTGCTGTCAAACTGAATTAGAAAAAGCAAAATATACTTTAGTATAATCAAGCATTTATTAACTAACATACCATGTGCTTACTGTCTATTTATTGTACGCTCGGACGTTAACTTATAATAAATGCTAAGAGAATCAATTACAAATATGAACTTTCTGTGGCACTTTGTTCCTTTCCCATAAAATGTTTTGTATTTTACATAGCAAGGTGTTAATCACCTTATTTTCTTTTTTTTGAAGGAACACGCTAGATTCTTTCGTTACTTTACTGGAGAAGCTGTGTTTGCTGTGTTTCACTTTGACATTTATTTTAAAGGGGACCTATCATGCAAAATGCACTTTTTGATGTCTTTTCTACATAAATATGTGTCCCCGGTGTGTCAGGGAACTCACGCAGCTTCAGAAAATAAAACCCTCTCTCTTTTCCTCCGTACCCAAATCTCTAAAAACGGAGGTACAACGGAGCTGATCCAGATTTGCGGCCGATATGACGTAATATCTGAAATGTGGACCCACGGCACTATGAGAAACGTTTCTATCAGAAACAATGTCCGACTATTTTGGACGTAATATGGTCGGTGCATGTTTACATTAGCATCGCTAACACTCAGAGCTAACCTGTACTGGAGAGCATGTGTGTGAAGAAGCAGGAAATAAAAAGGAACTCACCTTGTGGTATAACCGGCAAGAGAGAAAGACTTTGAGCTCCATACTGTTTCAGAAATAATCCTTGGTAATCCATGAAATGGAGTTTAATCACGGCAGAGTCTGCCGGTAGAATCTCCCGCATGAGCAGGCATAAGCTCCGCCCCTCTTTTCTATCTTTTTTTTTAAAGCTTTATACATAAAATCAGCACTTTTGAAACAGGAAGTGAAATAGAGGATATGAGGCATGGCTAGAATAGGTGATCTATTTGGTATTTTGAGCAAAACACTTCATAGACATGTTTTTTGTATATATATGAGACTTAAAATAGCATGATAGGTGACCTTTAAGAGAAACTTGTTCACCAATTTAACTTTATTCTTGAGGTTTCTCACACAGAGCTTTCACTGCTGTTTTCCAAACATTACCTTTTTAGAAATAGTCACAATTAAGATAATGGGGATCTTACTAGTAAAACAGTGCCCCTCTAGTTTGTAAAGGAATGAGAAAGAAATACGTTTGGCACAGTTTCTTTTGTTAAGCAAGGGTGAGGTCTGCTTTAAAGAAAGGGTAACAACAACAAAAGAAATGTGATCCGTCCGAGTCTCAGGAGAGCAAAGTGTCCTATAACGGGTTAAATATAGTTTCTAAGATTTTTCAACTTTAACAGGAGTATAATAAGGAGAAACACAAGGTCTGTGAAATGTTTGGTTGAATTTTAAGTCTAATTAAATGCAAATGTTGTTTAACTTGAAATTAATCTTATTGATCTTAAAGCATCTGGCTTAAAAAAAAGTGACATTACTTGTTATTTTTTCCCTTTCACACTCAATTGGAGTGCATCAAAGTGTGTTAATGTATGCTATGGACATGGTGTTTATTTAGCCATCACAGTAATCTGACAGGAGTGTTAGATCACACCTTCGGCCTAATCTGTATTTCACTTTACAACCGGTCAGGTTTCTGTTCTCACTGACGGTGTTGTCACGTCTCTTTATTCTGTTAGGCACCAACGGATCACATGTCACGATTAATTATAATAATGACAGGAATCATTTTCCATGGATAAAAGTTATTTCAACTTATTTGATTTGCCCTCACTGCTACATTTTCAGTTCATTTTTTTGGCAATGTATTACTGAAAAGAAAGTGCACTACAGTTATATTTTCTCACATTTAATATTTATTTAAATGTTACCCTTATATATATCAATAAAATAAAATAAAATAAAATCACTGACTTTATTTACAGAATGTACAAATACTCAAGTAACACAGACACATTACATTTTAAATATATCATTATCTGCTTATGTAATTAAGCTCAAGATGTAAACTACATTAAACTTGAGATTCAGTTTCTAGGGGTGGGTCAGATCTTTCTCAGAGAACCAGAAATTCCTCTTGTGTTTGTTTCCCGGATTCAACACACCTCATGCGGGTCGTCAGTCAGGTGCTGGACACACCTGTTCCAGGATATTGCAGAAACCCCCTCTCCTTCTCCCTCCTCTCCTCCCTCCTCCCTCCTCTCCTCCCCCCTCCCCCTCCTCCTCCCTCATCACCCGCAGCAGCATCAGTGCTGATCATTTTCACAGGAGCTCTCACACGCAGAGGACCAAAAAAAGCTGAAGAAACATTCTTAAAACTCAACATTTGATTCTCACACCTCAGGTAAGTCTCTTAAGAAACCTGATTACTTAGTGATTACTTTAATGTTTTGTTATTGTTCATTTTAATAATGTATACCCACTTCTTTCTCTCATTGTTGTTTGCTGTGTGATTTCAAAGACCATTGTCCTACTTCATGATGTTTTTACTTTTCCTGGAATAGATTAACGATACTGAGAAATGTTCTGGTTTACAGATTATTAAAGAACTCAATACTAATTTAAGTTTGCTAACTTTCTTGGCTCGACCAAACATCGTTTAAAAATGTGCTATATAA